CCAAAATGAACGGTTGTTATGCCTTTAATTTACGTTAACAGACCTACCATGTTGAACGCCCAGTATTGGACCAAGTTACCCGCAGATATCACGTTAACACGCTTAATACCTGACATCACCTCCCTTAAACACACCTCATAAGGACAGCCCCTGTGTACACAGTAATGAGCTGGGAATAAGGACACTAAATGACAAATAAACAGATTAATTAATCCCACCACTTCAACATAACGTGGACACTGTTTATATATATATTGGGAGGGAGGAAATGACAGCGGGGATAATATTACATAAATATTTCCGATATCCCCTTTTTATTTGTCGGATACGTGAAATGTGCCCAGAGTTGTTGACAGAGTGTCACAGCTATTGGACATTCACACACTCTGTATAGAATAAAGAAAAGGAATGTTTTAGCTTAGGGACTATTTGTAACTGGGAGGTGCAATGAAGGTAAAACAGCTGCAGAGATTACTGAATTCTCGCCTCGGTAATCAGCATATATTATTTTTGCATATCTAGAGATTACCAGAAATGCTGATAATAGAGGAATGAGTTTCCTGTAGTTTCAGTCACAAAAGAACGACGCACACCAACATCTTTTTAAAAATATTTTTATAACATTCATTGTAAATGTATTTTTTTATGATTGTATCTTACTTCATTTTAAAACTATATTTTCATATATGCATTCAATACACAGGCTGCATACATTGCAAAACAGGTACAATAAACCCATTATAATATTAACACTCATTGTATGTATTTAAAAACGTGGTCCGTAAAGACCTGTTTAAAATGGAAATGTTGAAAAACTAAATCCGTTGATACGATATGACGTTTGGGAACGCACAAAAACACCTTATAATTATGAACAGAACATTGGCGTTACGTCATGAAACTAATGTCAAAATTATCCTGTATCTGTATTTCATAAATGGTTCAAGATATTTGGTGGTCGCTATGGTGTATAGCCCACAGGCAATTGACGATTTGTTTTTCCACTTTCTACAAAGATACGGCCCACCTTTTTAGCCTCTCATGTTACGCTGTAAATGATCTATGAAGTGTTCGTGACTTTTAAAATCTATTCTAAGGTCTTGGGTGAGTTTTTCTTATAGTCTTTAAAATATATTTGTAAATATCGGCTTAGGGGCAAGTTGACATCTTTAAACGAATTCATAAAATATATGGCTTATACCTACATAAAGCCAATTCTGAATTTAGTTTTGTAATCTCTGTGCATTAAAAGCTACTAAGGTGACCTCGTAACTTTCGTGTCATTTTATCCAGTTTTCAGGTGTATTTAGCTTGATACGTCATATTGGTATTTTGTTGCTCACAAGGAAAGTATGCTTTATTTCAATACAAAACATCGCTCCTATTCTCCTAAATAAAAACACGCTTTTTCGATAAATGACTCTTGCTCCAGTTTAGGTACATGTCTTTCATTCTGATATATTTGGGGGAAATGAGAAATCTCATGAAGTAAAAACGCCTGTGTGTGTTCTAAACCTTTTCATTGATATACACGTGTTTAATGATAAATTGTCTAGGGTTTCATTACCCCGCGGCGCAACGTGTACATCTTTGGCGACAGTGACATATGGTTTCTTAATAAAGAATGATGAGTAACGTGTAAATGATACTGAGTTTGTGTGAATGTGTGTGTCCGCACGCACATGTTTGCGCGAGTGTGTGCAAAACCATTTTTGTCGAGTTTGTGTGTGCGTTCGCATGTACGTGATTGTGCGTTTGCGTGTGTGACATAAATTTCATTGGCGTTAATGCACTTTTATTTATCCGATGATTTATCACAAAACGATGATATGAAAAATGGGGGTAATTTATCAAAAATGTCTTTCCCGGGGCATGAGGTATGATAATGCGAAACAGTCCATTAAAATCGAATAGTGGATGGGGTTAATTTCCTTATTAATCTGAGCATTAAGATAGAAGCTCTGAGCTGTGGGCGAAATTCCATACTCTTTAGTGTTAAATTGGACTGTGCACGCTAGTCGGCTATGTAAGTAGACTATAGTACCTAAGTATTCCAGCTGACAGTCTTTGCTGTGGCATTTCACATTAGCATTATACAATATAGACAATACGAATCCATTAACTTCATTCCGATGTCCACTGTGGGTGTATAGCTGCCGCTACAATAGTAACTATAGCCTATATATATGGGCCTACATTTATATATGGATCTGTTTGAATCCCAGAAAAGGTTTACAGCTGTCCTGTATATCTATGTTGGTATAAATGAGCAAAAAAAAAAAACATCATTGGTCCGTGGACTGTGTGGACTCAAGGTTAGAAATTATCAATCCGTGCCAGTAGAATCTGAATTATTTTGGCCAAAAGGACAAGAGACATTTTGTCTTTGTTCTTCATGATATATAGATAATGTATATTATAAAATATTATGATTTTTTCTTACAAGGGGCTGAATTTAAAGTTCACACATTTTCGCGCTCTGTTTTCGAAATAAATGGTTGACGCATGTAATATTAAGATTGAAGAAGACACACTCACTAAGAATCTGCTGTCTTCAGACTTAAATATGGCAGATTGTAGATGAATACTGTTGAAAAGGAAGCGCATATCATATGAATTTCCCCTTCCTTGCTGACCCGGAAAGAAAGGAGAAAAATATCCCGAAGACACAAAACGAAGATTACACATAATAGTTCACTTTTCTCTTATTTTCTCTACGTCAAACGTACAATGAGATATTTATGGAAATTCTTTCACCCACTAAAGTCTTTTATTCCAACCGACAGGGAAATAGTTCAACAACCTTTAAAGATATGATGTCGAATACCATATATTGATCAAAGGCATATGGCAAGGAACCATATATAAAACTACTGACCACAGGTGCGTTTCAGAGTGAGATAGTAAGACCTTTACACGAATGACCAACCCCTAACATCCAGAAATGAGTTACATGAGCGTTAACAGTGCTTTTGAATTTGGCAAACAGTTGTGACTTTACATTAATCAGTCGCGGTTAAACAAATCCGAGGTTCTTTTTTTTCTTTTGCTAGGACCCATAAATGCAGCCACTGGTAAACTAGATTATATTTACAATGGTGCTAACAAACCGTTCGTGTTAGCTGAGAGAACGATTGATTTTCGTAGAAATCTTGAGGCAGAACTATTTGGTTATGGAGGCCTGTGTTTCAAGGCCAGAATGATATAATGTATAAACAGTACCCTCTACCAGGGCCACGGATTGATATTTCACTAGATATTTAACAGATATGTCTCTGGTTAAATAGATGGCTAATATCTGCACTGTGCTGTCGTCTCAGCAAGAATAACTGCGGCCCTGGTAGAGGGTATATAAACAGCATATCGCCCTTAACGCTGGGCCGAATTGATTTCTACTGTGCGTATACTTAGAATCAAAACACCGTAAAATCCATCAGAATAGAAAACTCTGAAGAATAAAATGGGTATTGTGATAATGTCATAAATGGGTGGGAAGTTACAGTAGAGGTGTGGAGGTGAAGTCGGGGGGGGGGGGGGTAAATAGGTGATTTCGGGCTTCCGTATAGTCCTTCAACCCACTATTTTTAACACAACACAGGTAGCGTTTACCTACCTCCTTCTCTTCCCGCTGTAACACTGTCCTCCACACGCCCACATCGTATAGTAGTGGCTGTAAACACTGAAAATATCCACAAACATCTGACTACAGATCTACGTGTACCGGGGCCCCACATGGTCGTAGTATATATTTATATTTATACGCTTGGCTTGCTGTCCAGTCTCTTTGTCTTATCCTCAATATAAGGCGCGGTCTGTTCGCTACTTTTTCACCTCTCTCTATCTCACTCACTAACAACACTCTGGGTATTACACCACAACATGCGTCATCTCATATTGACCACACTGCCATAGTAATTGGACTATTTACACTGCATGGTGACTCACATCTTCGGCGTTGTGTAGTATAAAGTCAGCGTCAACTACTCAGTCAGTCACTCATTCCTTCTACTCACGCTGGCATTGCATTGGGTTGAACACGAAATGATCCCAGCGGTAATGCGCTTGCTGATCCTTAACTTTAAATTGCGCACCTTTTGGCGTTTAAGTGGCACCTACGCTGTATAATGTATTTCGGTCCTTTGGGATCTCTTTGAGGAAGAGCGTGTTCACAGAAAGATGTTTAATCTATTTAATTGGCCTCAATGTCACTTTAAGTAATATAGACATTACGTCAAGCCCGAACAATATCGTATTCTCAGCGGTCTACATGTGTACAGTGTGAACGCGCTTGGCTATTGTAAATTTATGAGCCAAGAGCATAAAGATTACATATTCATCATGGCACTTGATTGCTTAAGAGACAACGGATCCTATGTTTGGGGGCATTTTCATGATGGACATTAATTTCCACTGTGTCAAGTATCAGTTAACAGCGAGATGACTTAATAGATGGAGAGTTGTATTTAGCTGACGGAATTGTTGTGCAACTGGGAAAACGGCGAGATCCAAAGAAGCCAGAAGGATTCTTCTTTGTCTTATGTTGGGCCTTACGACAAAAAAAAAAAAAAAAAAAAAAAAAAAAAAAAGAAATTCATCCACTTGTTGTAACCTTGCAAGAACTCAGTTTTTGATAATATCTAATTCCACAAGTCTTCTTACTAAAAAAAAGGGACAGATTTATTTTGTGCATAGGTGTGATATTTTCGTGAATAGTACAATTTTGAATATAACGTTGTTAAGAACTGTAAGAACTCGCATAGGCCTGTATCACATCACCCTACTGTCTGCCATGGACCCGCTGGGTTCAGATATTTTTTCTTTTTAAGTTTTTTTTCTCACTGGGCAGAATTTTTCACGGAATTACCCAAGAAAATAGCTGTAAATGTCAAAAGAAAAATCGCCCTCAGCCTCCGCTTTGTGGCCCCCGGCTGAGAGAACACAGTCTGTGGTGCGAGGTGATTGATAGGAAAATTGCGTTGTAGTCCCAACTGTCGCAATCAGTAAACTACGTGTAGCTGTTTTAATTTCTTTCAGTTTCTCCCCCCCCCCCCCTTTTTTTAGTCTTTCAGGAAAACAAGTTTGTGTTCAATTGGATTGAATAAGAGTGTCAAAGAACATAAGTATTATTCAAATTTAGAAGACTTTAAATAGGCATTAAAAGATTATTTTAAATAGAAAAAAATACATAGCCATCTTACAGCACAGCCAGCTGCGACCGTCTTAATAATGACCTTTTCTTTCGTAAGTCACCTGACGCCCAAATAACAGTGCGATATTTTGACAAATTTACCCAACAGTAGGCCTATTATGCAACGTACTCGTTCTACCATCATAAAAAATTAGGCCTGCAAATACAGTCGAGGTCAGCCACTAATTTCAATCATAGTTTTATTAGTAATCATGTGGGGTTTCGGAAATAGAGTTCACCGAGTCAATCGAATATTTCAGTTGGCAATATACGAAGTAAATGTGATTTCATTTGTAGACATTTTCGTAATCATAGTAAAGTAAGTAATTCTAAATCATGTCTGTGTAAAAATGGAAATAAACAGCACGAAGGCCGCGTAAACAGACGAACCTACGTTGGCGGGAAGGAACCAAAGTGACGTCATTAGATAACAAAATAACAAAATGACGTAGTCACAACTGAAAAAAATCTGCGCTACCTTGTAATTGTAAAGCAATTTCCAATCCTGCTGTCGTCAGTTGGTCTATTAGAATTACTAGTCATCTCTTTAACACGTTTGTTGTCATATGCAGGCCTTACAGACAGTAGGCCTACAGATAATTTACTCTCGTAAAACCTACAGGATTTAGCTACAGAGAAATGTAATAAAAATAATAAAAAGTAAGCAAAATAGTAAAGAATATGTTTTTGCCGAAGAGTTCAACTTTCTAAAATTACCTCGATAAATTTTTCCAAATTTAAAAGTAGAACCCTTTTTTTGGATATGAAATGGTGCTCACATTTAATTACGTTTGGGCTTTGATGAAAAAATCTTGCTAAAAATTTGCTTCTATACACTGTATACTTCTTTATAGTATCACTACTACATACATGTATCAGCATGCTTTCCACTGTTACTGGAAGCGGCAGAGACACCCTGGCTCGTGTAGTCAATGAACTCGCATTTGAAATTATGCAGTTATCAAATATCATTTTCTAGAAATATTACATATGTCGGAAACTATGAACAACCATCACTGCCTTGGTAGTTTATATTTATGAGTGTTTTTATTTGATTACTCTGACTTGTTTTAGGCTGGAACATTTCTTTTATAGCATGACAGCTAGTGTATAACGGCATGTTTCAAAACTGGCCCTGCCACATTACATGTTTGAATGAAGTGTAATGGGTAAAATGAAAAAAAAGGAAATTCAATAGCATATATAATAATCATATTAATGACAATAGATAATAGCTTCATTTAACAGCTAATAACGTGCTCTCATTCCCGGATGTTCCAGAGTATAAATACACCGGCACGTCTCTGTAGACCTGACAGGATTTTTCAAGTCCGGACAAAACTGTCGCGCCGTTCACTCGTGCGTGCCAAGAAGAAAGATAGAAATGACACCCGCATTCCATTTCTTACTGCTGACTTTAAGTATCGGTCTGATAGACCAGACGCTTGGCCGACCTTACGACGGACCTAAGGAACCGCCGCCCGTGCTTCTGGTGGACGGTAAGTTAAAATCTTTATTTTCATGGATGGATATTAGGGTTTTTAAAAAAATTGGCTGGCATGTCTCATATATTTTTCGAGATATCTGCTAAAATGGTGAGGTTTTAGCTTACAATGGTTTACACATAAAAAATTATGTATATGCATGCAAAAACATCAAAGATTAATGTGCTCGTTCATGTGTTTTTTGTTATTGGACACATTTGATTTTTCAAATTTTCAAAATATTATATGTACTCAACTAATTATGTATATATTTATATATACGACAGAATATCCTGTAGTTTACAGTTTATTCATATATCCAGACTGCCCAGAAGGATGGCATGGATACCTGCTGAGCTGTTATAAGTTTGGCCTGGACTACGTCACGCAGGCTGGAGCTAAGGCGGCTTGCAAAGAGCTGGCGTCTTCTCTTGTTGCAATAGAGACGGAGGACGAGAACGACTTTTTAGGGCGGAAAATATCGGTATATAAACACTTGACCCTTTCTCTAACCTACGTTATTTATTAATTAATTTATTTATTTATTTATTCATTTTTGTTCGGAGTAAGTAATATTTCATGTTTAACCTACAGTTGTCACCACGGTTTTTGTTATTATTGGGGTTGCTATGACTTTCCACCTATTCCCGGTGATACGTTGTTAAATAATGAAAAAGGCAAGTTTCTCATTTTCCAAATGTAAGTGTAGTTCATTGATGTAATGAAGGTTTGTTCTTAAGGATATTTACTACACCAACACCCCCTGGCGGCGCAGAGATGGTTATGAACAGTGGTGGACTGGGGGAGTGAGAGACGGAGATGGCTGGGCTTGGGAAGACAGCACTTCTGGGGAAAGTAAGACTCTCTATCTCTCTTTCTCTCTCTCTCTCTCTCTTTCTCTCTCTCTCTGAGACCCCGTTCGTTCATCGGAGGATCGATCCTCTGGTGTCTGGCACGCTTACTGAAGCTGTTTGGGGGTAGTTTTAATTAAACTTAAGTCGCCTAGATGTCTGTCACGCCTACTGAAACTGCTCGGGGGTAATTAATTATCATTTAACAACTTTAGTAGGCGTGCCAGACATCTAAAACCAATTAAGCCGAATGCAATTTAGCAAGAAACCCCTCGAAGATGGATCCATCCTGCTAGATCGATATTGGCATGGGAACGGGGTCTAATTTGTATTTGAACTAAGCCCATATCAATTACAAAAAAAAATAATAATAATAATCCCGTTGTCCATTCCAGAGACGCCAGTAACTTACACAGACTGGCACGACCCAGAGCCGAACGGAGCGTCCCGCGGAGAAGATTTCCTTACCTTGGTGTTCAACAGGAACCGCAGCTACAGCAAGCAGACGGTGGGTGTTATTACAAGCCAGTCAAATTTACAAAATATTAAAAAAAACTACGTAAATATGACTTTGCCGTGGGGTAAACTAATCCCAGTAGACCTAAGCGCCATATAAGCTGTCAAAAAAGTTTCAATCAAAATAGCAAATTCATGTTTTTATAAACCTTTCTAATGTGTCTAAATAAAGTGCTTTTATTTTCTATCTGTTGGAAATAAATGTTGTGTTGTAAGATTAAATCCACAAGTGCGGCAGTTTCAAATGTTTATGTTTTGGTGTCTTTTTTCATTTCAGATCGGTTGGAATGACAATGATGGCTCCGAATCCTCCACTCACAGGTTTATTTGTGAAATGGACCCAATCACGTGGCCACTATTGCAATAGCTGCGCATGCGTTTCCGAACAGAATGGTCGAAGGTCTATTTTCCCCTGATGAGTAAAGGGGTCGTTACACAGATTTTCTTCCACATTTAAAACAGCTTTATCAAAGATGTAATGAAATTTTCGTAACTTGTGTTTGTTTATTTCGAGGCAAATTCTAGCGAACCTTTTAAAGAGGCACACATGCTTACACCACGTTCATGATTATTACTAATTGCATACAGAAATAAAGATGATGGTTCGAAAATGGTATTTTAATGGCAGTAATATATATACACACTGTATGTACAGTGGCGTTTGTTTCCAAGACGGTACCGGTCAATTTTCAGAAGTGACGTAAACCTGGCTACGTGACTTCTGTGCAAGATTTCAATCAAACACAAACAAAATCCAATTACACTATCTCACTTGTGAAGTAGTACCAATTTAATAACACAATATACTAAAAGGATATTGCATTATGATCAAATTCCCTTTTTACAGTTATCAAAATCAATTAAACCAATAAGAGATTTTTGGTGATAAATACAAGGTGAGTTAGTACCGAAACAGGTTTGAAACCTCAATATTCGGCTGGTCCCGTATGGGTTCGTCACCTTCTTTTTCCCATATAACACATACCTAGGCAGTGATTTATTTCTTTTTCTGTTTTCTCCATATATAAACATTAAAACAGAAACATTTAAAACATTTCCTAGTATATTTATTCCCTCTCTCAAATTCTGAAAAAAATTAGTTAATTATGTTAACACTGTAGACCACTAAAGTGCCACATACTGTACATGTAGGCCTACGTATGTGCAAAATTATTCGAAATGGCCGGCGCGTATCTCCCTACAAAAATGTGCAATCTACCGGGTTCTACACCCACGTAGTGCAATAATTTTAAACTTATTTTTGAATTTTTAAACGAAAAATTTTGCACATTTTGCAAAAATTCCCAACTAACGCAATCGGAAAACGAGATGTCTGTTACTTTTCCCATAGCACGCCAACCTTTTAATATTTACAGTAAAAACACAGATTTATGATCAACCGAGGAAATTACAATGTGAAAAGAGTCTAGGAGAACTTTGTAAAAATAAAAAAGAAATGAAAAAAGTTTTAGTGAGAATTGCCTCCGACCTGGGTTGTCGAGAAAAGGTTAGTAATCCAGCATACAAGGCGGAATATGAGTTGCATTATTTTAGGAATTAAGTGAGAATTGCTTCCGACCTGGGTTGTCGATAAATGGTTAGTAAACCAGCATGCAAGGAGGAATATGAGTTGCATTATTTTAGGAATTAAAGATCACAGGCGCAGACTAGTACATAAATTGACCTTAAAACGGAGGAGATAGTGAGAATATCAACCTTCACTGATAACAGCACGCTCCATGTACATGTAGCTACAGAAGGGGGTCAATATTATGTAAGCAGTGTAAACATGATCGGCGCAGACGGGATATCCAGAGATATCCACACGTACACATCTTCTATTCTTGGCTTGGCAAAATGGAGGGCGGTAAGTAATCTTTTATGTGCCTAGATTGGGAGATGTTACTGCAGATGATTTTTATGTGCTATTTGGGGTATGTTGCCCTGAGTGTCAGGACCACTGTGAAGCTAGATTGATGATTATTCAAACCTGTTCACGGGCTTCAGCAGTTTCGTATTACTGATATGGGTTATATATGAAATCAAGATAGAGCTGGCAATTCGGAAATCTAGAACCTAGAGTAGGGTCTGTTGGTTTACAATTAGTAGTTTATGCCCCTATTTCACACAGACCACGAATCCCACGAATCGCCAGGAATTGACAAATTTCAGGATTCCTGGTTGAATCGTAATCAGTTCGTGATTGATCAAGATTTGCAAGAACTGACTACGAATATATACGAATCTTTTAAGAACTTCATGAACTGATTACGATTCAACCACGAATCCTGAAATTTGTCAATTCCTGGCGATTCGTGGGATTCGTGGTCTGTGTGAAATAGGGGCATTACAGAGGTAACAATATGTTACATGTCTGTTACAACAGTTAACTCCTTCTGTGTTTCCCGGTCTTGGGGAACTAGAAATTGTTAAACAAACCCCATACTGTCACGGTCAAGATCCGACACAGTCATGCACCCCCACAACACAACACACAACGCTAACATACACATACACATACACATACACACACATACACACTTAAACACACACACATACACAGACATACACACACAGACGCACACTTAAACACACACACACACACACACACACACACACACACACACACACACACGAGTACGGTACTCATGAGGGACCTATCGTTATAATGCGTTTTTACGTGTATATTTTCACACATTTTGACGGTCAAACCATTTGAAAATTGTTTCTCAAAGTGTTGTCATTTTTTATGAAAATCGATATCTCTTTATATGCATCTACCTTCACTGATAAGAATGCGCCGTGTTTTATAAATAGATGATACATTAACTCTTAACGCGTTCGTGAGCAGTTTTTCAATCCACTTTTGGCGAATGCTGCATTCCCCATCCTACAACTTAAAACACACCCACCAAGCGTCTTAGCATGTAGTCAGCGGATGTTGTACTATATTAACATAACGTTAATATAACGTTTATATAACTAAAAAACGTTACCTTGACATTATAAAACGTATTGTGTGTGCTGAGTTATAACGGGGGTCCCATTTCAATTGAAGTGAACCTTTTACTCCTTTAGTTTACACAACATGAGAAATGAGATAGAACCCAGATCAAAATTTGATTCAGAGCACTTTTTAAAGGTCAAAATAACAGTTCGTTCGACCCCACCCGTCCAGCATGCGGACCAACGCGCGCGCACGCACTCGCACACACACACACACACACACACACAAACCAGTTGACACACCTCTTAGATCACCACAACTTCAAATTGTAGGCCCTACTGCTCTGTTGCTGTTATCGTTTCAGAATATCGCTACGACCCGTTGACCTTCAGTGTGACAGATGCTATGAAGGCCGACTATGACCGCCTTGGCTACGTCCTGGTGCGGTAGGTGTAGTAGAAGACTGCTGTCGAAATGACAAAAACTGAGACCTTTTTAGTACAAAATAAACAACAAACTTCGAAACACGACTGCTATTGGTCTTTGCTGTATTTTAAAATTGCGTTTCCCAAGGAATCTAAAATACCGCTAAAATGCCTTTCCTTTTACTGTGCCCTGAACATTATTTTGACTTAATTAAATAACCCAATTATGTGTGTCAACTACGTTTTTCTATGGCTAAAAGTCAGGTTTAGGTCGATCTTGAAAACTGTATCTTATTTGCAGTGGTCTTCTTGATGCGGAAGAGATGAAAATGTTGCATACCTCACTGGAGGGTCCTGGGGGAATTATGGACCACGCCTTCATGGTAACACTGTGTGTGTGTGTGTGTGTGTGTGTGTGTGTGTGTGTGTGTGCATTTGTGCGAGCATGTGTACGTCACTCTTTGTGTGTGTGTGTGTGTGTGTACACACGTGCGTGTGTGTATGTGTGTGCGTCTCTCTCTCTCTCTCTCTCTCTCTCTCTCTCTCTCTCTCTCTCGATCTCTCTATGCCCGTCCGCCTGTTTCAGCAGGCTTAGGCTAAAGAAGAGACATTGAAAACGAAGTTTACTTTTCCAATCAGTTTTGAAAGATCAGGGAATGTAAGAAGGGTCTCTATCATCATTTGTTTTTGTGTCAGTAGTGATAAGTTATCACTGTTTACTGCAGGTGGACGACGGGCTGCAGAAACAGGTGGGCCTGTGTATCTGGAGTCATCCAGGAAATGACGTCACTGGCATGCTGGCCCGGGCAGAGAAAACTGCAAGAACGGCAGAACTGGTAAAACCAACTAAGTCAATGTACAAAAGAGAGGAATAAGCTTGAATGAGAGCTAAAAAAGGGTTCGGTGCCAATGAATTGTATCCTAACCAACGTTACCTTTTCACATGGCATGAATTGCTTCTCAAAAAGTTAATGGCAGGTTTTCAGCCAGCTATTTCCAATGATTTATTTGAAATCAGGCTAGCTACGTTAATCATTTAAAGTTCACAGAAATAAGGGGCTGGAGATGTAGTATATATAATTTTTATTGACACAAGCACATTTAAAAAATATTGGCTGTGATCTACATGTAACAAATGAATAAACTCACATGAATGTTTTATATTTATAGTGTACAGTAATACAAGATACATGCATATTGTGATATATGACCTTACGTATTAACTAATTAATTTTTTGTTATCAGCTGATGGGCCATGGAGAGGTGTATCATTACCACAGTAAGGTGACGTTCAAGGCGGCCAGGAGTGGAGGTAGCTGGAGATGGCACCAAGATTACGGGTAGGGGGCTCTCCTTACACCCGCTACTTGTACCTCATTGTAACTAGCCTATATGATATACACGTACATATGTGTGAATGTATGCCTGGGCCGTTTGGTGAGGTTTTCATCTTGTTTATCTCAGTGTTTTGTATTGCTGTGCGTGTGTCAGTTTCTTGAAATCTTCCCCCCCTCTCTCTCTCCCTCCCTCCCTCTCTCTCTCTCTCTCTCTCTCTCTCTCTCTCTCTCTCTCTCTCTCTCTCTCTCTCTGATTGCTGATACGTGTATGATTTACAGTCATTCATTCTCCCCCTTCTCTCTCATCTTGAAATCAGTCTTACGACGTTATGCATGATGATATTCTACAGAAATGATGTTGATTTTACTATTTTGTTACACTGTTAAGATTTGCTTGTCTCACCAGGTATTGGTACAATAACGGTTGCCTATTCCCATACATGTGCACTGCGTACATTGGTTATGATAAAAGTGGCAAAGAAAATGGCGGATTGCAGGTAAAGGATTTTTAAAGATCGAAAGTCTCTGTACAGGGTTTGTTGTATACTGAGACAATCGAATTGATTAAACGTCTCTGTATATTGACTTACATTTACATATACAGAGGAAAATGTATAATGCGAAATGTTTGTGAAAAAGGGGATTTATTCAGCAATAACGTCTTTAAAAAGACCTCCGCGTTTCTTTATTACGGATTCGCCCTCCATTAATTTTTTCTGATAGACAAAAGTTGTGGCCTTGGCATGTCTCTTGATAACTATTGCCATTAGGCTTATCATACCACAGAGTTTAATTGATAAACTTTTAATTACTTTTTTCCCCCAATTTCTATGTTATCCCAGATATTACCAGGCTCCCACAAGGCAGGGCGGGTGGACCACGACAGAGAGGGTGGTCAGTTTGGAGTGAATGAAGAGCGTGTCCAGCAACTGGCCAAAGTTTGTCCTGTGATGTCCGTTGAGCTTGACCCCGGTAGGTTCAAACCTTCGGAAACAAGAGATAGCGTGTTAATCTGCTAGTCTAATTGCATTCAGCGAGAGTCACTTGCGGAGATGGATCGATATACGTAGAACGATAGATTCATTGGGAATGAGCCCTTAGAGTAATTAAGGCCCTCTTCACATCGAGCGGTATACTTTAGAGACACTCTGTACCGATACATTTTGAGAGGACCTATACCGTATTGTAACACAACAGAGCATGCTGAAGGATGAAGTTGATTCCATACGTTATTTCTCAGAAAAAAAAACAAAGTGTATAGCATTAGCCAGTCACATATACTGTATGTGAATATCTAGTGAAAAATCAATCTGTGACCCTGGTAGAGGGTAGTTTTTACTCGCTTCTACAAGTTCTCCACAGGTTCTCTTCCTTAATTGATTGGCCCTAACTCTTACTTAATAGCCTTAATAGCCTTACAGATTTACATTTTTTCTAAATTTCGACGAAAGGATCACAAAGAACAAGACTACTGTTAAAAACTAACATATAGTATATATTTTCAGGTGATGCCCTGTTTTTCGACTGTAACCTCCTGCACAAGAGCGACGCCAATGAAAGCGACAGGCGTCGCTGGTCATTTTTACTCTGCTACAACACCAAAGTGAACAACCCAGTAAAACAGCACCACCACCCGTGTTATACGCCGTTGGACATAGTAAGTATTGCTACAACACTAAAGTGAACAACCCAGTAAAACAGCACCACAACCCGTGTTATACGTTGCTGTACATAGTAAGTGAGAGAGAGAGAGAGAGAGAGAGAGAGAGGGGGGGGGGAGGAGGGAGGGTCTTTCCACCCTGAGTAGGCAGTGGGATTAACGTATAGACAGGCACTCAGACGTACGTGGTAAATTTTAAAGGCACTAATATTATTAGATGCACAAACTGATACTTACGACAGATAGGTAGACAGACAGACAGACAAACAGACAGCCTACATAGAATCTATTATTTTACATTTAGTTATCCTGGTGTCCTTAGCAAATCTCGGATCTGCCAATGCGCCACTGGCTAATTTACAAACGATGTATACGCTATATCGTTGTTAAGTATTTGATTAACGTTTGGCATAAACATGTATACAAAATAACAGTTTCAGCGTGTATTTTTCCGACTTCCAGGTGCCTAACTCTGCCATCAAGACGTGTACTAACTACACGGACATGACTGGGAAGGAATTCATGAACCCTGACACCGACCAAACAACAAGATACAATCCAAATAGTGCCGTTCAGAAATAATCATTGTGCAGCAAAATTGGGATGGAATTAATGCATTTCAATCTTTAATAATCATTAAATCTAACGTGCATATTGCGCCATGTAAGAACCGTCTTACAGTTAGATGTTGGGATGACTGGCAGATGATTATTTGGTGATAAATCGACCATTTTCTAAACAATTACCACTCCAGTAGGCCAATACGATGTTGGTAGACGTTGTATTTTGGTTAAATTGTGAGCAAAGTTCGCATAACTTGTTTCTCATCTCTGCTTCTTACATGAGAACATAACGCATCGATAATGGTTTATAGTACACCTTTCCGAATGGTATGATAGAGACATGGGGAGACGACACTCAAGAGGAGCTACAGAAATTCAGCGACACTCACAGGGCAAGTGTAGATGTAACGCTATTTAAAGCGAGGTGTATCCGCAGGGTCTACTATATACAGAAAGACATGTTATAAAGTATTTAGAGAAACAGCAAAAAGTCTTGTTCTTAATACTAATACCGATAAAGATGACTCGATTTTTTTGTCATTTGTCAGTTTGTTGCCACCTTTGAAATACTTAAACAGCATATACTTTACATATACATATCATTTTTACGCTCAGACTCATTTTAACTCTAATATCAAGTGACAAATCGGTCTGTCACCCTGGTAGAGGGAAGCGAAAAGGATTGCAAATAGTCCACTCAACCTGCCCATAGAAAGGTTTTCAAACGATTACTCGTATCTGAGATAAAATGCTAGGTCTTTTTTTTTCAGATTAAGAATACAGTGCTTATTTTTAGTTAATATCTTAGGCTCATTCCCAATGAAACTATGGTTCTACGTAGGTTGATCCAACTCCGCGGGGACTCCCGCCAAATGCAATCAGATTTAAAGATTAATGCGCGTCCCCCAGGCGTTGAGTAGAACACACAAAAAGGCTGTACCAGTGGGTTGAAATCAATCAAGTTCTTCTGGTTGCATTCAGCAAGAGTACCAGTGGAGTTGGATCGATCAATGTAGAACGATAGTTTCAATTGGGAATGGACCTTCAGATTCAGAAACTGCCCTTCAGTTATCAAAGAGCAATGCTTTGCACAAAAATAGCATCCCCGGTAAGACACTTTTAATTAAAATTAGCTGCCACAGCCATTTTGGTAGCTCACGTGTTACACCATCGAACTGTACAGTGGTAAATGCCATTTGTTCAGGCGCAACACAAACAAAAACCAAATTTCGCATTTCAGTACGAAACAGAAAGCCGCATGTTGTAATAGTGAATACTATGGACAAAATTGTACGTATAGCTAGACATTTCAGAAAAAGTTGACATTTTTATTTCTTAACTTGTTCCAAGGTGAGACCTATTATATAGAACTAAGAGCACATTTAGGTTCAGGGGACTTTTTTCGGACCCATCCGAACCCCC